TGCATGGCGATGACCACAGACTGCTCCGCAGCCGACTGTTGATGCTGCATCCGCCTGCATGACCAAGTCTGGAACTGGCAGAGCAATACAGCGCCCGTTGAACCCCTCCAGGTGATGAAGCCACCAAGACAAATCCTCCAATGCTGCTTCGGAAAGCCGGAAGAATCGAGAGTGCTGCTGAGGAAATCAGCTCCAGGATGCTGGCAAGCCGTCGAGCTGTACCCTGCCTCTGGGCAATTTAGCTCCGGCAAGTTGTCAACATCCGATGGACCTTGTCCGTAGGTAGTTCTAATGTCATGGCTATTGAACTGATGTGGAATCCCAGAAATTTCAACACCTGTAATAGCTGAGGTTCTGACTTGCTGAAGTTTACCTGGAAACCCAGGGCCAGCAACAGATAAATGAGATTGGCCGCATGCTGCAACGCCTCTTGAAATGAGCCAGCACAAGCGAAAACCCAGGTAATGGACTTGGAGGGCGGTTTTGAGATTTCTATACGAGAGCTTTCAGAATTTCATGCAGAAACCAATAAAAAAAACCAGACTCAAAAATCTCAAAAAACACCATAGATACAGTCATTTGTCTGCACCTATGTCCTTGCCAAACATACGGAAAATGATGTTCAAGCGCAAACAATCCAGCGGTGTTGAACGAATAATTGATGGCCCAAGCAAAGCTGTCCCAATGAAGCAGATGGAGAGTATTATCAAATCAAGTGAAAAATACTGTACATATAGGTAACATGATATTGAGTCTTCTATACATCATAGCATCAAGAGACTCTTTAGAGTACATGAGGGCATCTACGCAAATAGGCGTAATCAAGAGCAATGTTACGCAACTGTGTAACTGAGCAATGGCACAAGTATATACACGAAAATAGAAACGAATGTGAAATGATCAAAGTGCCATGTCAGGCTGGTCGGCGAGGATGTTGTCTCACTCTGCAGATGCAGTAGGTGGCGCGCAAACTTCATCTTGAAACTCTGATGGAACATGCTCGCGAATGTGAGAAAAGAGGTACTGCTGCCTCTCTGCAGTCAGTCCTGCAGGACTGAGGACTTTCGGCAGACCAGCACGAAGCAAATCTTCTGCAGGCACTTTCAGCAAGGCAAGCCTCTGCTCAGCAGCATGAACATTCTCTTTGCAATACACTACACCAGGCTCAGCACTGGAAAAGCGCATGTAGTGAAGCTTGGAAATGCCGACCAAGGGCTTAAAGAACTGCATAAAGAACTTATCCCACTCACGCCACTCCAGATTGGAGCCAGGAATAAGCTGCGACTGATTGCATGCAGCACTACCATTCACTACATCAGCTAACTGGGCCATGCTATAGATATTATTGCGCCTATAGCTGCGTTTCAGCAAACCAAAGCAGCCATAGACCAAACATCTGGTGTGGCCTGTGATCATGAAATGCAGCTCAATACACTTATGCAAGCCAGACATACAGCGCCGTGCAAGGTAGGAAACAACAGTTTTATTCTTGTGATACAATTGATCCCTGTCCTCTGAAGTACATACAATATCACACCAACATGGGTGTCCCAATCTAGGCGATTGTCAAGGTGAACACCGAGGTAGCGCGCAGAAGACCCGGAAGGGAGGAGACAATCGCCGCTTTTGACTGTTAGTTCCTGTATATGCTGCTGGGGAGATATAGTCAAAACCTGGCTCTTGGCGGCGTGTTCAAGATGAGGCCTCGAGACTTCAGCCAACCGTCCAGAGCAGTTGCCGCTGTGGTAAGGGTTCTAAGATCCTTCGCTAGTGATTGTAGACCAAATAAGGTTGCACGTAGTTCCAGGCTGTTGATATGAATATGCTTCTCCGCCATTGTCCAAAGGCCTGATGCATGGCGATGACCACAGACTGCTCCGCAGCCGACTGTTGATGCTGCATCCGCCTGCATGACCAAGTCTGGAACTGGCAGAGCAATACAGCGCCCGTTGAACCCCTCCAGGTGATGAAGCCACCAAGACAAATCCTCCAATGCTGCTTCGGAAAGCCGGAAGAATCGAGAGTGCTGCTGAGGAAATCAGCTCCAGGATGCTGGCAAGCCGTCGCGCTGTACCCTGCCTCTGGGCAATTTAGCTCCGGCAAGTTGTCAACGTTCGATGGACCTTGTTCGTAGGTAGTTCTAATGTCATGGCTATTGAACTGATCTAGAATCCCAGAAACTCCAACACCTGTAAGAGCTGAGGTTCTGACTTGCTGAAGTTTACCTGGAAACCCCTGGGCCAGCAACAGATGAATGAGATTGGCCGCATGCTGCAACGCCTCTTGAAAATGATCCAGCCATGATGAGTACATCGTCCAGGTACACGACCAGACGTACACCCTGTTGGTGGAGACAGGTGATCACTGAGTTAAAGGAGCTTGGTGAACTGCCGTGGAGCATTATAAAAATGGTGGTATTGCACAAACCAGTTCAATTCCCGCAGGTCGGCCACTGGGCGCATCTTACCGTTCTTTTTCGGTGCACACAGTGGGCTGAGAAAGCCAGGTGTGCCAGGGGCACCTTTTCCCCGGCATTTTTTTCTTGCAGTGCTTCCACTTTCTCTGTCACCACTGCTGTCAAATCTTAGGACATCTTTCTGGGTAGTGGCTTCCACCACTGGACTGGTTCCTGACTGAACTCCAGGCAAAACCTTCGCACATATTGCGTGACTACTGAGTCTTCGGTCAGCTGACGCCAGCGTCTGGTCTGACCACCAATTAGGCCGCTCGGACATCCCTGGACCTCCGAGGCGGCCAACCTCCAGTCCAAACCCCACTTGGGTAACTGGCTGCATCCACACTGCAGTTCTGGTGGTAGTACCTGCAAGCACATCTCTAGAAGGAAACGTATTAGGCGCTGTTTGGCTTCGGAGGGCCGTGCTTGCTGTCGGGCTGTTGGTGTGACCGGGGTTGACACTGCGGCTTCTTGGAGTAATGTGGACGGTGAGGGACATGGCTTGCGGAGGTCCGCCCATTCCTGCGGGCTCCTCTCCCTCAAAAAAATGGCACAGGGGAAGCCTCCGAAGCCTTGCAGCATTTGGTATTGCTATTCCTCTTGTCTTGTTCGAAGCTTGGTGGCCGTCTGTCTTTTCCAGCCACATGGCCATGACTTGCATCGGCCCAGGCATTGTCCGGTTCCGCTCACTTAGTTATCTGCTCGTTCTGGGCAGAGCCAAATATTGACTAACCAGGGTTAGCAAGATCTGCTGGGGCTAGGATAGAGAGCTTGCGGTGGGTCTTAGATAAACGGATGGAACGTCGTTTTATGGTGAGTGCCTGTTTAACATCTACCGGGAGACGCAGTGCCGCCGTAGCGGCCTCCTGGATTCATCATCTGCTGAACTTGCTCACCGACGTCAGGGTTTTGCTTGTACCTCAAGAATGAAGCACAATGGGATCCACCACATTCAACAACTTCGGCTGCGTCAGGTACTGAGGTCTATCCGGCCGAGCCTCTGAACGAGGTGGCTTTCTGTCAGCAGAATATACAATGCGGGCGACTTGCGCATCCAAAGCCAGGACTAATGCAGCGTGAGTGTCCGGGCGAGGGCAGCGGCGGGAAAATGCCTGCCCGGATTTGCGTCGGAGTTCTGAGGGAAGACATGACTTGGGAAGCTTGGCAGTTTCGTACGAAACATATCGGGTAAACCCTTTCTCCTCCTCATCCCCGTCATCCACTGGCCAGTCAGTAATGTGACCCACACAGCAGACTCCAGACTATGTGTTCTACCAGACTGAGAGTCCAAATCATCAGTTGCCACACCAGATAGCGTCGTACAAGCGACAGGTGGCTTGATTGTGCCAGACCTGCTGGATCTTCAGGACCACACAGGTTTGAGGGAAGAGGTTGTGGTCTAGGTGGCTCTCTCGTCGTGGACCGAGCAGCAAGTGGCTTCAGGGTGGGATTATTTACCAGGTCGCCATCAACGAACCCGCCACGCGTATGCTCAAGACCGGCTCCAGAAGCCTGAGCGGGCAGAGTAGACCTCACCAAAGAGGACTCAGCCGATTGTGAAGGAACTGGGATCAGGAGTGGATCAGTTTCCGGGGTACATGTACCATCCACGATCCGCGAGTCATGCTCTTGCCTAGAGTTGGACTCCAAATTTCACCGCCGCATCGACTATTGTGGCATTCCAAAGATGCCAAACGCCTCTCGAGTGGGCGCAAGGCTTAGCCCAGAGCTCTCTGGACTAGCGAAAAAACATCCTGAGGTGCGCATTCCATACCAAAACTCAAAACAGCAGAAATTTTTAACGAAGCATTTCCTCGAGCAAAGAAAAAAAGATGAAGAAGCTAGACAGGAAAAGGACAAAATGTTTCGAGTTAGGACAAACTGTCCACCAACGTAACCAGATCTTATCCAGTCAGCGAGTGCGACAAAATGGCACAAAACTGACAAGGACTAATGAGACATTCGGCGACCTGACACCTAGCTCCAACACTTCTCCAAGGCGCAAACCAACAACCTTCCAACTTGGAAGGCTCAGGTTCGGAAAGGTCCAAGAAGGTCCAAGACACTTGCTGACTGTATAGGATCTGGTTACATTGGTGGACAGTTTGTCATAACTCGTAACATTTTGTCCTTTTCCTTTCTTCATCCTAACTATATTGGCTCACCATCCGAGTTCAAAGAAGCTAGAGTTTCTGCGTTTGAGCTGATTGATCACCTGTGGGGCAGTTTTCTTTTACGATTTTTCCAGCAAAGGAAAACCCGATTTCGGGTTGGTATACACTGTTATATCGAATCCCAAAGCTCCGATATGAAAATTAAGAGTATGGGGATCCAAGAGAATGTTTCACACCTTTCAATGGTATGATGGCTTTTAGGAGAGGAGAAACTATCATAAGGAAATGTGGGTTGATAACACTATCTACCAGACCAATGACTTCCTGTAGAGCAATACAGCAGCTGCAGTTTACATGTCTTGCTATACATCAAGAAGATGATGAAAATTGTGTATTGAGATAGATCTCTGTGCTGGTTTCTATAGACTAACCTTCACCCGATGATTGTTGAAATCAGCAATAAAGACCTTTCCATCGTTGCTGATTGTGATACCACGTGGACTCTTGAGCTGCACCCTGCCATTACCCTCGCTACCAAATGATGTACAGTTATTGTGGATGGACCTATAGTGATTTTGTATAGCAACCTGTACATAGACAGTAGAGATCATATTCATAACTTAACAATCCTGTCCAGGTGAAAATCATACTAGCTTGTTGGCCAATCAGTATTCATCATACAATCTGTTCACAAAATGGGAGAAAAATGAACAATGTTCAAGAAGTTATCCAGGTGGTCTTGTTTCATTACGTATTGTCTTAACAAGGAACACATATCAAGAAACGGTGTAGGAATTCACTGCCCAGGAAAACAAAACACTTCAAAAAGCTCCGCGGTGTAAACCAGGCTGAGTAGTATTGGTCAATTCTTCAGCTTTTCACTTGTCATTGCGATCAGGCTGAGCCCTATTCCCCCAGTGCTGTATTGATGAGGCCACAAAGCACAGAACCGTTGTGTGTGTGTGTGTGTGTGTGTGTGTGTGTGTGTGTGTGTGTGTGTGTGTGTGTGTGTGTGTGTGTGTGTGTGTGTGTGTGTGGCGGAACCGTTGGGGAGACCCAGTACTGATGTCTACACGTGTGTGCGTTTTTGTCTGTGTGTGTGTTTGTGTGTGTGTGTGTGTGTGTGTGTGTGTGTGTGCGCGCGTGCGCATGCGTGCATGCGCGAGTGTGTGTGTGTGTGTGTGTGTGTGTGTGTGTGTGTGTGTGTGTGGTGCCAGCTAGTTCGGTTTGTGGGTACACTTATGCCTGATTGTGTTCGGTGTGTTGCCAACGGGCTCGGCTGCTTGAAGGTGTAATGTTGTATCTGCCACCTTTTTTGAGTCCAGGGGTCATATACTTTCTATTTTAAGTATGCATATATGTTAGCCCATAGTTTTGTATACTTTTGGGGATTTCAGGGTGATTTCCCCGAAGTTTGGGGATTTCAGGGGGTGTCGGCCGTTGGGCGGTTCAGTAGCCAATTGAGTCATCTTTCCAAGATTCCTTTTGGGTCCCTCTCCCCTCTCCCGGGGAGACCCACGTGACCAGTTTTGGCTGTGCGCAACAAGTACAAGTACAAGGGTGTGTGTGTGCATGTGTGTTCGTGTGAGGGGGGGGGGGGGGCTGGTGGTGAACTTACGTCCTCCGGAAACGAAAAATTCGTGACTTTTTCACGTGACTTTTCTGTGTGTAATTCTGCTCGAAGAAAGTGTATTATTGGAAGGGAAATACTTCAACACTGTCAATGGACATGATTGTATTCATAAATCTGCAAGATCGATTGATGGGAATAGAGTCTCAGTCTAAGTTGCCATTGGTCGATTCATCACCGCTGGAACCAACCAAAGTAGCAGGTCGATCTACGTGTTGATCCCAATGCTGCTTGTTGTTGTTGTTGTTTCTTTATTTAACTTCACCATATGAACAGGCAAGACTGCCTTCTCACCGGGGCTATTGGCCCACGACTCTCACAATATGATGAAAATGTTTAAAATGTGTATGAAGAAGAAAGGAACGGAAAAGAAGATGAAATGTAAGGAAAGAAAACAGTAGTTATTAATTTTATGAAGGGGAGGTGGTAGGAAATGGGTATTATCATAGTTGATGAGAGAAGTTTGATATCAAATATTCTTGTTCTATAGACTATTTAGTACGGGCATTTCAAGAGAGTCATGCATGGGCAAGGCAGGATTTGGACTAGGATAGAGGACAAGAACATAATTGATGAGCATCTGTTCAGGCAGAATCTGTGAAGAAGACATAGTAGGCACAACATCGGAGAGCTAGTTGAGGATGGAGATAAGGTCATAGCCAGACAGCAATGCTTGAAACGTGTGGCGTGCGTCGCAAGCGCGAATATCAGCAGGGAGAGAGTTCCATGTGGTACTGCCAACAAAGGCGATAGAGCTACGGCCTGAGAGACCAGGTAGGAACGGGACTCTGAGCAGCTGGCTGACCTGACCACGCATGACACAGCTTCTGTCCACATCCGTGGCAATGAGGGAGTAGTAGGATGTGAACAGTGAGCTGGCTCTGCCATGAAGGCAGCGGAAGACGAAGAGAAGCAGACGTTGCACGTATAACTGGTGGAGCTGAGGCAATGATATTCTGACAAACAGGGGAGCAGTGGTGGTCCTTCTGGGAAGTTAGAAGATGGCTCGTATGCCAGATTTAACAATGCGTGTCAGTCGATGTAGCAGCAGTTTGGATAGAGCGGGAAAGAAACAGTTGGAGGCATAGCAGAGAACAGACTGGATCATACTCATGTACCAGGCCCGCCGGACATTTCTCCGCGTCCCAGATCGTCTTCGCTGTTACTAGTACTTCAAAGTATATGGTTTACACATGTGCCTTCCCTAGCATCGCTCTTCGTAAGTAACGCTCTTTCTTTTTTCTTCTTCATTTTCATTTTTTGATTTGCATTTTTGTTCTCGGTCCGTGGTTGGTTTCATCTTTACTTCTTTTTTATTGGCTATTTTCATTATGTGACATGAAGTGCAAACAGTAAATAAATAAATAAATATCTAGGGGGAGACCGCGGTGACGCTGGTAGTCATCGCCTCTGCGAGGGTGCCCCGGAACGACGACGCGTACAGGAAAAGCCGAACATTTTGCATGTTATCTGCATTGTAGTCGTGCCATCACTTCACAACTGCAACTTGTATGCGACCAAGGAGACATCGGAGTGGAGGCTGCTGAACAGAGCAAGATCTTCCACGTTGAATACGCGGTAGCGGGCGACGACTTCGATTTTGCACTTTTTAGCTTTGCTGTGCTGAACGAAGTGAGTCACTTCTTTGCGTAATGGAGTTTTGACATCCTGCTGACCTGTTCGCACTTTGGCTGGTGTTTTCGGGGATGACGCAGATTCCAAAAAAAGCTAGCTGCTATCCCTGTCATACTATTCTTGCTCCTCAGTACCTTTGCCCTTCTCTTTCTCATTGTGAACCAAAAACTGTAAACGACGAGCAGTTAGCCCAGTTCTTTTGTTGCATGGCAATGTGCCTGTTGGACAAAATGCAAAACATTGTCACTCCCATTGCTTTACAGCACGACATCCTTGCCTTGCGATGACTGTCGTCTTTCGAGAATGTAAATCATGCCTTCCTATGGTTCCAATAATGTCATCTGCCTGTCTTTTATGCCGAGAGAGCCACACAGAGAGCAACAGAACAGGAGCGAAAATTAGTCAAAAAAAGTCGGAGAAAGTACCAACATGGTTGTCATTAAAATTCTGAAATTGGTCCACTTAGCGCAACCTTAGTCTCGTCCTGACGTTTCCTTCATTCTCCTGGGTTTTTAACAATAACCAGTGCATGTCGAAGTAGGTGGTGTTATGTGTGTGCAGCAAAATATCGAGAAAAAAAGACCAACAAGTAGGAATTCATTGGTCAGAAAAAATACGTCAAATAGTTGTGGAGTGTAAACCACTTTGAGTAGTAGCGTACTTGAGCGATAAGTGCACAATTTTGTAATGTCCACCACAGATAGGGCACTATTCAAGATAGGGCACTATTCAAGATAGGGCACTATTCAAGAGAGGGCAATATGTTAAAAGCAAAGAAAGCAACGAAACAGAGCCTAAAGTTTACTGCAACCAATCAAAATCAAAAGAAAGGGCAGCAAGAACTGTGATTTTGATTCTGAAACTACCAATTCAATGACATGGACAAAAGCAGTATCAAAGGATCACCAAACTTGCACATGAGCTTGCTTCCAAGCCGGCAGGGTGGGGAGGGTGGGGGAGGGGGGGTGGGGGTGGCATTATACAAGAGACGGGTTTCTTTTTTCACTGGCTCTTAGAGACTGGTGCAAATTCGAGATAGGGCTCTAATCGCGAGAACACGATAGTGGTCAATTCTTCAGCCTTGCAAGCTGTTGCATGCTGCAGTCCCAGGACAACTTAGTACGGCTTCTGTTGTAGTATCGCTATCATCGTCTCCGGCAATGGGCGTCAAAGATTAAAGTTATGCAAAACTGCGACAACAAGGCACAATCTGACAGTGGTACTGAGACATTCGACGACCAGACACCTAGCTCCAACACATGTACCAAGCACCAACCAACAACTTTCCAACTTGGACGTCTCAGGTATGCAAAGTTCCAAATGAATGGAGTTAAAGTGCAGCCAAGATATGCACAAGCTATGTTGCGGGGTAACAAAGACTGCCGAACATTACAGGATGATTAGTGAGACTAGTAAGATAATTAGACGTACCGATCATACTCCAACTTGAAGACGCAAAGTAACAGACAACCCAACCCGAAGGTATGTAATAATACATGAAGAGGGGAAGCCAAGCGAAGACGATTTCTTGTTTTTACAAAGATCACAGCTCACAGGCAAAGACAAAAAATTGCATAGTGGGAGCATAGTGTTGGTGAGGCTTTTTGCCCTCAGCCGACCTGAGGTCTTGACGTCATGGGAATTGTGACAAACATGCAGAAAAGTTCCTACATCACTTCACGTTGGTGCAAATATAATGGGTAAGTTACTAACTTGAAGTTAGGGTTGGTTTGAGTATTGCCGGTGCGCGATGGGAGTCACCAGCAGTGAGCCTCTTGCAAAAAAAATGATCGCAAGGCAAAGGCGGCAAAGTTGGGCAGTGCTCAACTCTTGCGATTTGCTCCAGCATTGATCAAGTGCAATTTTGACCGAAGGTGGTTTGTGAACCGTTCGCACCGGGGACCATCGGTGCCGAGAGCCAGATTTTGTCAAAATTTCAAACCAAGGCTCGTCCTAATTTTTTCCTAAATTGAAGGTAAAGATGAGATTTGCCATTATTGTAGTCGCTTCAAGATCGCATAGCAAGTCAGCATACCAACCCGTCCTTCACGGTTGCTCTGCTTGTCAGTTGTGCAACTTATGAGACAAAATATAATTGAAAGTAATAAAAAATGTGAAGGATACATTGGCAAGTTATTGTAACATCATCGACGTTTGCATGCATAATTTCGACAACATCTCTTACTAGACTGCAATAAAAGGTGTAGAAGTAATTTCATAATCTCCAGTAAAAGTTAGCACCGAGTGACCATCACTAAAAGCCCTTGAACTACTGAAGAAACAGGGAATTCAAGATTCAGTTGACTAACCTGTGGTACCATT